AGGTCCTTTTCTGATGGGCTAGGGGTGAAGAAGAGTCATCTCCTCCAGTCAATCAGAGTAGTTGCTCATAAATAATGTACATTTTATGTTAAAAGCTTCCAACACAGCCTGCTAGAGGTCAGAGGGGAACCTGGGCTATTTGTTAAGATGGATGTAGAGAAATCTAAACAATCTGGGGTGAATAAAATGTCACAGATACACTCGGTAGTTATAAAAAATGGGTGAAAAGGGGGCCATAATACCACCTTTTTAAAAGTAAATTAAAAGAAAAGTGTCAAAGTGTACAGACATCCTCATCATATGGATGACCTCATGAAATCACTGCTGGGTACAAGAGCTAGTTGTTGCTAGTTTCCAAAAGTGTGTAAAAGGTTTTGAACATTTTATGGGAATATTATTCAAACTGTTTCAACAAGAAAAGTCTGCTCCGTAGTTTTATGCAAACCTGCATACACCAATAATAAGTCTTTGTTTTTGTCTGATGGGTGGGCTGAAATGGGGATCAGAGATGAAGGCAGCAATAGCAGGACAACTAAAGCATCTTTGCAAGTCCAAGAAAACGTAATGATGCTCTGTGCTATAAAATCTGCTTTTCAGAAATATAGTTTTGTACAGTGGCGCCTGCAGAAGTATATTTCATAGTACGCACAAGAACTGCCTATGGCAGCATAAATCTTGTTTTAACAAGAAACTTTTCTCATTATAACAAGATATTTTGCTCATTTTTACATTAGAACCTATTTTTCACATTATTACGACGTACTGTATTTTCTCATTATAACGACATACCGTAGGCTATTTTGTCATTATAACAACATACCATATTTTCTCATAATAATGTAAGCCCTGCACAGCTTAGAGTGAGTGCAGCACTCACATTCTTTGAGCAGCACCTCTGCAGCTCATTCAATTCAGCAGCCTCTCTCATCAACACTCTCTCATACCAACTTTCCATACAATGGCCAATATTGCTCTCAGGAAGTGTGCTCCAGCCGTTCCTTGAGCATCACTGATCTGACTGTTAAATCCATGTACAATAATTAGTCCACTATATAACACATGACTGCGGCTCATGAGTGATTTAACAAAAACTGTACATGTCCCAATGATGTTACAGGCATTATTGACAGCAGGTAAAGTAAGTGTGCTGCTGCTGTCACTCACTCCAAGTGGCAGGGCTCACGCTAGGGTGTAGAAATGACGTGACCCACTCTAGGGGTGTGCAATACGGTATCATATGAGATAGCTCCTCAGACCATAATTGTGAAACTATATCTTTCTATTGTACATTGACCCCCAGCTCCAGTAGCGTAAAACTTGAGCAAACTCATTTTAAAATATACACACAGTCTGTACAGGATTATGGCTGCAGGTGCCACTGGTTATGTAAAAGTGGAAGAAGATTTTCGTTTAACTGTGCAATTTCTCACAGCAGATTTGCTCCACTATTAATCTACTGAAACAAATCATTCATTGGCATGAAGTCTAAATAAAGTCTAAGCACATATGCTAATAACCAGTTTATATTTGTCTCCTGGCACCTACAAAAGCTACTGAGTGAATAGTAGCATTAGTACACAAATCAGCCATTTCACACAGCACAGCTCCAGTTGTGAAATGTTGTTTGAAATGTCCCCAGTGGAACTTGCTGTATCTGAACTAAACAAAAACAGTTCACTGGTTCATGAATATGCTGATTAACCATACCTCCAACTAACACCGATTAGACCTATCACCACTGGATGTTTGGCATGACGTTGTGCAACAGCTGTGGTGCTGGCAACTCCAAATGTCTCAGAGTTCACATTACACTGCAAGACTCATAGCAGTTCAGATCATTTCAAGACAACAAGTTGACTCCAGCCGAAGGAATCTAATCCTAACCAGCCTGCCCTGTGAATCACTGTTTGCATTTTTAATGAAAGCTGATATTGTGCCAGAAGTATATCAATATGTGTGCTTGAGCCATATATGCTTAGAAGTTGCTTGGCTTTAGTGCAACTAGTCTTATTAAATATGACAATATTAATATTAATGTCAGTTAGGCTCGTCATTCCCAACCAAAGGGTTACAGGATAAACACAAACTGTAACAATATTCACTCTTATGGTATTAAGAGGAAAATAATGCAATATAATTGGATGGATAGATGGAAAATGGATACTATTTTACCACAGCAATCTCTCTGTCTATCTCTCACTCTCACCAGTTGTCTGATTTATATGTTTATTTCTTACATTATGTACTAATTACCTATCCATCCATCCACTGTGCACTTGTGTTATTGACTTGTGCAGCCTTTGAACTGTTTTGAAAGCAACATTTAAGCAATCAGTAGCTACACTGTAACCGTCGCCTTATATTTTGGCACACAATAAATGTTTAAGCATCCTCCTTTGACAAAATGCCCTTGAGGGTGGCTGTTTGCCAAGGAAGTAAGAAATAGAGTGGCACTGGTTGAATGATATCAATGGATCTGTTTCTTCTCAGGGGTCAAGGAGTGACGACTATCTCGAAATGTTATTGGTCCTCAAGGCATAAGTCTAAGACATGGACCCACGTGCTGCCCTTGAGAAGGTACTGTAATAAACCACTATCTCTCAAAGAGTCTCTGACTAAAGTGAGAGTTGCTGTAGGGGTAAATGAAATACATCCCTTGTTGATAGTTCCATCTCAACCCAAAGGTTTCTCTGAAGGAAAAGGCCAAATTGCAGATGGGAGACAAAGAAACGCTCTGCTATGAGTTTACAAATAATGCTTTCTCTGTTTTAGTGTATAAGGCTCTGTCCAGCCAGGGGGCACTTCCCGTGTTTGTGTTCACCTCTCCCTCTCGTCTATGAGTTTTCAGTAAACCAGAAAAAGACATGATGTTCTGTGACCTGACCTGGCAGCATTACACGAGATGCATTTGCATTAATTACCTATGTGACTGATAGTGCTTCATCACATGTGAGGATCCTGATAAGCTGCTTAATGCCTTGGATAAATGTTGGATTCAGGAGAAAGTGTACTATTCAACATCATGAATAAAGAAGCATAAAAACAGCTTTCAGTGCAGTGTACTAACTCTTGCTTCTTTGAATGCTCTGCTTGTACAAGCAGATTCACATCATCGACAGTTACAAAACGTGCATTGACATACTATAAATAACTGATGCTTCAGTTCTCCTAAGAGCAAAGCATTTCATGTACTTTCAGCTGAGAATTTCAAAAGGCTAAATTAAGGGAGCCCAAATTAAAAAAGAATTTAGTGTGATATTGATGCTATCTTTCTGTGAAGTATTAATTACAGCATAAAAAGCTGCAGTTATTATGTTGGTGGCACAAAAGCATATGCAGCTTATCCAGTGTTGCAGTGAGCTCACAACAAACAAATTATTCCAAATAAAATGTCCTGAATAAACATTTTAAATATAAACAAAAGGCAGTTGTCTGTGGGTATTCAGTCTTTTATTTTAAATGAAATTTGCACTGAGAAATAATTTGAATTTATGCATATTATCAAATTAACATACAAGCCTGACTCATGGGCATGAAATAAAACATAATCTAATTATCTTTATGCCTTTAGATGGATCTCATTTTCTAAAGAACAATATTTACATTTCTCTTTTAAATGAACAATCTTACATGTTTAGGTGCTATTCTACATTAGATCTTGAAAATACTTTAATGTCTGACAGAGACACTGAACCACAGTATGCTGTAAATGTCCAAAATGGAAATTAAATAAATAGATTAAATGCACATAAACTGACATTTAGAATTTGCTATTTTAGGTTCACTAGACAAGAATATGTAAAACACATGGTGATGTTTGCGCACGCTAACACAACGTTTTTAAAAAAGGACCAGTGATAGCTGCCATTCATTGTAAATTAGATCGGCCCCCCTCGGCTCGACAAAAAGCCCCTGACTACATTACAGGAGTACTTTCTTAAAGTTGAGGAACAAACGCTCAACCTGCATGATGATTACAACATTACAGTGCATTTTCAGAGGATGATTTAAATGAAATAAAAACACTTAATAGGTTGTCAGCCTGTCTCTGCCTTCTGTTAACAACAGAAAAGCAGCTTTCTGTAAAACACTTCTTTGTTTACCAAAGGTCTAAACAGAGAAGCAAAGTCATTTTGTGACAACACATAAAGTGGAATATAAACGTGAAATTACTGCCAATGGAGAACTGTCACAACCTATTTATTGTGCCGTACTGCGTATTTGCATGTAACAATTCATCCTCCTCCAACACAAGGATATTAAATTCTTTTCTGGTATAAAGTGTTCAGTCCTGAACTAATTTTTGTTTGTCATTGCACGTACTACAAATTGTTTTAAAAGTAAATGACCTCATGGTCTGTACCCCTTGCTATGCACCACTGACTGTGCTGTGATCAACTGATTGATAAAAATAAGGCCTATGAAAAGCTTTGGAAGAGAAAAACTTGCTTTGACTGCCGATCTGCTCATATCAGGGTTGTTATCAAACGCTTTCTGGAACAAAGAGGGCTGAACTAGGCTGGATGAAACTATAAGTGAATGGCAATATTCACTATTTTTCTCTGAAACCTTTAGCCGGAAAATACCTTCACCCTAAACCGTATTCACTGTATCCTCCAAATATGACTGAATTAAACTGATTGTTAAACTTTTTGAAGTGGAACAGGGGTGTCACTTGTCTTCCCCATGCCCAGAACAAATGATGTTTTATACTGGATGAGCAGAACTAAAGATTAAACATTAGTTGGCCTTAAGCAAGTTTCAAATCGCAGTAGAAAGGCTCCTTTGTGAACGGGAGGTGGTGACGTCAAATGAGCTCTATAAAGACAAATTCATAGTCTAGAAGGAGCAACATAGTAGTGGGAGGATGACTTTCAGTGTCCTCCTCCATTTCTTAGCTTGCATAACTAATGAGGTTTAAACCCTGGATAAATTAAAGAAGACTAGTGACTGCTCTCAAGCTACAGTAGCTTGCTGTCCACATGATAAAGGGATTACACACTGTATGCTAATTATTTTTATCAATTACTACTCAGAAAACATGCTGGAAATGCTTGAATACAGCCATTATCAGGTGAGATGGGTTGATTGGGTTGATTTTTTTTCTCAAAATATCTGCAGACAAATTATTGAATTAAATCAGTTCAAAGATGAAGCAAATATTTGATCTGTAGCTTGGGCTCAAAATAGCATTTATTTATGCGCTGTTAAGAACTGTGTTATTACCATTGTAGGTCCATTTTCAATGGTCACTAAACACAGTTGGCAACTCCTGATGGTATTATTAGAGCTAATGGATACAAAATAGTTTATATTTTGCTGCATGAGTTGCTAAATTGTTGCACGAACTCTGTGTTGTCATAGATCATGTGACACAATTGATGGTGTCTCCTTGTGTGGAACGCTCTGGTTGTAGTAGGTTAGTAGGCTAAATGATGTTATCAAAGTTTCAAATGTGATTTAAAGTGAAAGAATTTCTTCAGTTTGCCAAAGCAATACAAAAGACCTAGTGATCGGCATTATACAACAGAAATTAAGAATTCTGCTACAGCATGGTAGTACAGCTTGATTCAGTTTGGTTGCCTTGTAAGCAAAGCATATGATATGAACTTAAACTAGAAACAGTGAGCATAAAATTGAACCTAACATTTCCTTAGATTTATACTGCCATCATTAAACTGCTGGGAAGCAATATTTTAGCCTACATCAAAATCCACACATTATTTAATGTTTCCTTTAAATGTCACTGATCTTAATGTGTTTTCATTACTGATGCTGATGCTTTATAATGAGGCAGTCATTATTTGTGATTCTTAATACTTATTTTACAGCCTGCAATAGAAAAAGTAATTGCTATACAAAATTTTAGGTTGTATTCTAATGTACTTGTTGTACCTATTCATTTTGCCCACATTTAGGTGCAGTCTCACTTAAAAAATCCCACCAAGTTCCACATCCAGCAGGCCCAGAGGCAGCAGGTGCAGCAGTACCTGTCCACCACCCTGGGTGGTAAAGCAGGCAGCCAGTGCCTCAGCCAGCCCCTGGAGCAAGGCATGCCACCTGGGCCCGGCAGCAGCGCCCCCAACAGTCCCATGGCCCTGCTCACACTCAGCTCCAGTTGTGAGAAAGAGGTACGTCTACTGGTTGCCAGACACTTTTGATTTCATTAGACTGTGATAATCTGTAATTATTACATCAAGTATGGTTTTGTGCTATACAGATGGATGATGTCATTGATGATATTATTAGTCTGGAGTCAAGTTACAATGAAGATGTTCTTGGACTGATGGACACAGGACTCCACATTAACAACCCGGTAATTTTTCAAGATGCTCCTGTCTTTAAAAAGATACACTGTGTATTATAAAGATGTCTTATATTTGAATTTAATGTAGATATAAGACACATTTGTTCTTTTTAAGCATGGATTACAATGCTATTTCTAACAGCTGCCCGTGTCTGGAAACTTACTGGATGTGTATGGCAATGAAGGCCTTCCGCTCCCAGGTCTCACCATCAGCAACACATGCCCACACAATATTAAAAGGGAATACACTGGTAAATTACTGAGAAAACATTTCACACATACCACAGTATTATCAGTATTTGCTTATTCTTTTCACTGCTGATTTACTGTAATTCGGCATTTGGGCTGAGTTTAAGTGGGGGTCATGAACAATGAGTGCTGTAAATTCAGACTGTGAAACCATTTAAGTTAATACAATTGATTTTGACTAATAAAGTTTGTCTTGGCATAGCAAACCTCATTTCATCACATATTAAAATGCACACAGAAATTTGCATAAGGCCTGATTCAGTACTTTTGCAATTATACTGTAAATTTGATTTAATATAGGTAAATCTCAATAAAAAAATAAATCAAAACTACTTCAGTTTGAATGTACAAAGTGGCAGTGTTACTGTAGGCTGCTGTCAATATTGTGTGCAATTTGGAAGTGCACAAGATACCATTAAGTCAATTATTTGTCAAATAATCACTCCAGCTCCTGGCATGAAGCAAGTACTGGACAAGCCTGGATCCTGCGGCCAGTACGAAAACTATCAAAGGCCAGAGGGCTTTCCAGTAGGTAAGCAAAGCAAGATGAAAAATGTAAAACAGATTTCTGTGTAAACTGTCAAAACTGTTTTCAGTCTAATTTTCATAATAGCCTATTTATATGAAGTATTTTGTGTATGACTAAATTGCACACAATATGAGAAACTGTCATTATAGAAACTGAGAAGCCTCAGTAAATAACATTAGTTTTACTGTAGTTCTCAAAACATGTACAAGCTGTTATTACTGTAGTTGTGATGTGCTAAGGTGATGGATTTACTCTACAGTATATGAAACACTAGCAAGCTGTTGTATTCATTTTATAGAATTAGTGCCTTATTAGTTAAATAAAACACTGATAGTCATGCTTCTCTTTGCTTCACAGAGGCTGAAGTTCGTGCTCTTGCTAAAGAGAGACAGAAGAAGGACAACCACAATTTAAGTAAGTCCACTTGTCTGATTGCAAAATGTTAATTTATACTGATTTATTGAATGACCTGTGATTATTTCTACATATACTGCAAACCTTGTTTTACCAGGCTGCTGGACTGACTATATATTCTATTTGAACATTTGCAGTTGAACGAAGACGGAGATTCAACATTAATGATCGCATCAAAGACCTGGGGACCTTGATACCCAAGTCAAATGATCCGTAAGTTCTTTTTTCTTTGTATTTATGCTTTATGTGCCCATCCATCAATCTGTCTCTCTATACTTTGTGTAATGGCGTATTTGCTCCATAAAGAATCCCGTGCTGTTCTGGTCAGCTGACTCTGACTTTAGAGCTTTGTCTCCTGTATACCCCAGAGACATGCGCTGGAATAAGGGCACCATTCTGAAAGCCTCAGTGGACTATATCAGGAAGCTACAGCGGGAGCAGCAGAGAGCCAAAGAGCTTGAGTGCAGACAGAAAAGGCTGGAGCATGCAAACCGCCATCTACTGCTTCGTATACAGGTGGGTTATTCTAAGCTGGCAAAAAAAAAGAAGGTAAAACAAGCTACCAAATGCATACAGTAAACTGAAAATAGATATGCACTAATTTGAGCAATTAGTGGCTTACACAGCATCGCGCGCCATTTCTGACACTTCCTGATTTTCTGTTTTATGTCCATATTAAACCAAGGTTTTTGGTTGGGGAAAACACGTACAGTTCTAAGTGGAGCGCATATGGATGTGCACCAGCTGTAATCATTCAGTCTCTGCATATTCATAAATATTGTCTGTAGCCCCTTTGAAGATGTCCCAGTCTGTGGCCTCTAGAAAGCCCACAGGCTGGCCTGTGCACATTCCGTCCAAGTGTTAACAGTTCTCAATGTGACTGGTTTTGCCTTGAGAACTGTTAACACTTGGAAGGACTGTGCACTGTTTGCGAGTATCGATTGTGACACCATTTTATGCTAAAAAGATGAGCATATTTTAAAGTATTTTTCCCAGATAGGCAACAGGTTTAACAGTCTTATTCATGTTTTATTTGTATATTCATCTAGGAGTTGGAAATCCAGGCCCGGGCCCATGGTCTTACAGTGGTGTCATCTCCATCTGTCTGCACATCGGAGCTGATGGCACGAGCCATTAAACAGGAGCCCATCCTTAGAGACTGCCCCTCAGATATCTACCAGCATAGCTCAGCTCCTGACATGTCCCCTCCAACCACACTGGACCTCAACAATGGCACCATCACCTTCGACGAGATTCCTGCAGACACTGAAGAGCCTGGTCCCTATGAAAACTCCAGGACCTGTAAAATTAAAAAGTTGGTAAGGGACAACACCCTGTCGCCAGTTTCTCTAAGTGATCCCCTGCTGTCTTCAGTGTACCCTGATGCCTCCAACAGCATCAGCAGCCAACACAGTTCCAGCTCTAGTATGGATGAGAGGGAGCATGACTGTTAGCACTGGCCAGTACCATGAGACACGGGGACATGTCCTATCAGTAGCATCCCAAAAACAGGGCGCCTGCATTAAAATACCTTAAATATGTCTGAAAAGATGAAGGAACTCAGAAGTTATTTTTATCTTGATTCTATTTTTTCTCTTTACTTTTTTCTCATTTTCATTTTTGTTCCAAATATACTTTGTATTGAACTGTCCATTGTTAATAAAGTGCAAAAAGCTTAGTGTAATGCTCAAACATGCACACAAAAAAAAAGTAGACAGAAAATTTAAGATGTAAGATTACTGAAGCAGTTTGTCTAACACTGTATAGTTTTCTGATGGTTACATTACAGGAAAATGCATAAAGTATAAATGTGTATTTAATGATCATGCATATTGCTTATTAGTAATTGTTTATACACATATATAAATGTGTTATTTTTTAATCCAGGCTCTTAATGTTCTCTGAATAAACAAATCAAAAACAGACCAAATGAGAAGTGTTACTAAGGTTAAGTAATATTACTATCATTTATTTGGCTTTCCTTTCATTTATAATGACCCACAAACACTTTTGCCCCCCTAATTCTAACATGATCTCAGGCATCCAGACTTAGTTTTGATGAGTAAAGGCAAACACATAGAAGGAAAAGGTGGTTTATGATAATATTAAGGTTTTAATACAGACATAAAACCAAGACTTAACATGATTTAATGTCTATATAGAGTGGAAATGTAACAGGTACAGGCACATACTGTTTAACCCAATGCTAAGCAGATTTTGAAGAAAAGTGAATAAGTGTAGTACACAAAACAAACGTCTACAAACACAAAGCTAAACATAAGAGCCTAAGTAGAGAACAGAAGTAATCAAGGAATTATGTGCAGTGCAACACTGGCTTAGATGTGCTCAGGTTGTCCATGTACTCTCCATTCAGTCTAAATCTGTTATGAAACATGAAATCGGATAATGAAAAAATGTCTTCATTTACAATTTTTCATTTTAAAATACAAAAAGTAAAGAAAACACATTTTTTCTTATTTTTAACCATATATGTACCTGACAAAATGAGCTGGTTTCTTATTTTTTAATTGAAGTCAAACGTTTGGATGAGAAAAATAGTATTGTGAGGTTAATGTGTTCATTTCCCTTTTTCTCTTTTCTGTCTTTATGTGAAAATCGCACCTGTAGGCCTGGCTGGGATATTTTCACAGTAAAAGCTCTGTCATGTATACTGTATATATTGCATATAAGTGGTGTTTGCTGAGCAATTCAGCAGAATCTCTATCGACTGCAGCAGCTCAGGGCATGATGGGAGACGCCTGGCTTTTCACCTGATCTAAGAGTTGTCTGGTTGTATAATTGCAGCAAATGTAATTTTATTAGTTGATATTTGAAGGTTTGTTTAGTTAACAGAATAAATGTGTGGTTGGTAGTAATGTTTATCAGTCAGAGAAGCTGAATACAATTAGCTTATAGTACATTACATATAGGCCTATACTTCTCATATACTGCAGACAGTCTATGTTCTCCTCTACAACATAAACATTACTGACTTAACTCCTGAAGTATTAAGTGAACCACAAGCCTTTGGCAAGTGGGATGTGAAGTAGACGCGTAACGAGCTTGACATAATTAACTAGATATATAAAGGCCTACAATTAGATGCTGCATGAGCATGTATCAGTTATTCAATAACAGTTCCATGCGCATGAACAGTTGCTTATTATGGGAAAACATCAACGCAGCATCTAATAGTTAGCTGTTAGCCTAAGGAGATAGTTAACACATAAGGGCAGTGGATAGGAGTTTGTTGGCAAAGCTGAAATGATGGCTGCTCTGCATGTTTATGCTCATTTAGCAGGTAGGCTATTTTGATAAATTGCTCTAAGGTTTTATTGCACTACAGTAGATCAATGGTTGTCACCTTGGTTAATATGTTTCACTTGCTCCCCCTCTCGCCACTGCTGCATCTCAGCTACTATTTGCTCCATCTGTCCAGGAGTCAGTTGCACCTGTGCACCCAAATAATTTTTCACATTTGCACACTGAGTTTTACTTGCATTAGGGAGTGAAATGCTCACATTGTAGAGCACTGCATGTTGATTCGCCTGAGGATGGTTCATTAAACACTGGTGTGGCCACATCTTGATGCACAAAGAAGAAAGGCCTCAAGTGTTCACGCAAGACTAAAGGGGATTAAAGTTTAATGCATCCATAGAAAAAGGCATATATTAAAAAATTGATTTGGGGAATTTATTAATTGATTTTGAATACTGTTACGTCTTTTGTTGTGTCCATTGCTGTGAAATAGTTACTTCTGTTTAAGCTTGAGTGTTAAATCTTGTTGTTTTTTGCTTGGCCTCCATGCCCAACTATCCTTCCAATATGGCTGCTGTGCCATGACAATTTCTATTTTTTACATACTCATCCATTTAGGCCAATCTGTCCACTGGCTTGTCTGTCCGTCCATCAAAAGTGGCCACCTGTAAGAAGATCTGTGTAATCACATGGATCTAGGTTGCCATCTCTCTCTCTCCCCCTCTCTGAATTAGCCTGTTGTGCATTAGAGGTGTTTTGTCTTGGCTGCTGTGCCACAGTGTGAAGGCTGAGCTTATTGTAACATCTCTTTATCCCTTTCAGAGTCTGTCCAATATGGCAGTAGTGCAACAGTTATATTTATGTCCCTATTATCAATAACTCGTGGTGTGGAGATATATGGACTGTTTACAGGCATTGTTCGCCAGAAGTGGAGTTTTTTTGCTGAAATGCCGGCCCCATTATCTAGCAAGAGAGCATAGTGCCATGTTTCTGGCTGCTGTGTATGTTAGCCCAAGAGTTAATCCCTTGGCGGCTCCTAGCAAACTCCATGACATCATCTGCATGCAGAGACAGCTCACCCTGATGCTGTTTTTATTGTACTTCAACCAGTATAATCTACGGACTGTACTTCCCAAATATTACCAACATGTGAACATTCCCACCCGGGGCAGGAACACTCTGGATCATGTTTACAGTAACCTATGGGGTGCATAGGGGCTGCACCCTGCCCCCAACTCGGATGCTCGGACCACATTTCTTTGTTCCATCTGTACTGTTCACATACTCATTTTGCACATGCATAATTGCACACTCACTGCTGAATATTTACACTCCACGGCTCCCACGTAGCATATATTCTCTCTACATTATATTGTGTTCTTGTTGTATTTTTATTGTGCTTCTTTCACTTGCTGCTTTAAAGTGCCTTAGTTAGTTTGTGTTACTGCCCATTTAGATTTAGTGTTATTGCTTGTCTACTTTATATTTCACTTGTATTGTGTGGCATTCATGTGGACGGCAAAGTAAGAATTTCCTTGTACAGGGAAACACGTTTCCTAACTGTGCATATGACAAGTAAACACTTTGACCTTGATGTTGACATGTTTTAGGGGTAGATTTGGTGACTATTGCAGTTCAAAGGTAAGGATGCACATAGTAAACTTAACTGTATGAAGGTGTATAAAACTTTGTTAATTCATTGTGCTCTTACGCCAATCTAGGAATAGTTGATGGAGGGGGACAAAGAAGGAGCACAATTCTCTCTTCCACTCACTGGAACATTACAGTTTTAAACAAACAAACCTACATTTCTTGTCCTCAATGAACACACCTAGTTCCAGGACCACAGTTCCGATGACTAGATGATGTTTTTTTCTACCCTTTCTAAATTGGCTGTACTGTTGCACAACACTCTAGGCAAGTATTTGAAAACACCAGTCAAGGAAAATAAAGCCATTGCGAGTGAAAGTGGGCAGGCAGTAGTGAGTGAGTGGCAGGGGTTGTAGATTAGTTGGTCTTCTAAACTACACTATACTGAGTGTGCTTGAGTTGAATCAACAGTAGGTAACATCAAATTTCACTCGTAAAACAGCCCACTTGTAATTTTCTTTAAATATTAGGCCCCCTGAAGTACTTGAAGCAGCAGTGTGTTCTCTCCAGGTGATAACAACAGACGAGCCTCTAGAAGATGCATCTTTGTCATTGCTTTAGTTTCTTTATTTACCAATTCTTGCATTTTCTCAGGCCAATCTTGGACAGACAAACAGGGCTATATTTGTGAGCATAGTGGCTGCTGCCCATTGTGGCAGGCCTGTCAACTCATACATCTCATTGGCACCATGCGCCTACAGGACAAAGTTGTCAAGGAAATCTTGTATCTTCTGTAGAAACCTTGCATCGTACTATTGACTAATTGGGTTATGCTTTGTGCCCAGACATCCCAGGGACAGGACATGAGGGAGATTTCTCTATTTTTGTCATTGAAGCCCCAACACCAAAATGTCTTAAGCAGAATTTGGTTATTTCCATCATATGACTCAAAGGCATGGCTATAATATTTGATAAATCAGAGAAGTACACTGTACTTTCTGTTTGAAACGTTGCAGTGTACTGCAAGGTGTTTCACGTCCTGCCAGAGAAAGTGACGTGGGATGCTGTGACACAGGAGTTGTTGTGTATAGCCATGAAGAACAAGAAGACCATGCTGTACCAAGCCCTCATCAGTGATGATGCATCTGTACCACAAGTTGTTGATCTCTTCAGCGACATCTTGTATTCACTTCTGTCCTCTTCATTAAATCTTTATTTTCTTTGTACCTATGATTGAGTAACCCTTTTTTTTGTTTTGACTCAGATGCCCAACCTTAGGAAACTGACATTAGAGAAAACAACCTGGTGATGCAAATGGGACTATAACTGATGCATCAGAAATAAAGAGGCTGGCTTTAGACCTCTACGCCTGCCATGCTGTCCTGAGAATTGACTGACTTGAAGCGATCTTGCAGGGACTGTATCAGCTGAGGGAAGCTTGGCATTACCTCAGTCCACCACCACCTTGGATGAGATGACTGCAGCAACAGAACTGTAACTTTTCCTCTGGAGTTTTTTTGTACTTTATTTGAAGACTTTGAATCTTGGAAGTTTACCACAAAGTTTTATAAGGGCTAGGCCATTTTTCCTAAATTAAATGGTGGACGTACATGGGCAGGCTGAAGGGTTACTTTAATGGGTGATTCTCTAGACTCAAAA